CTCCATCTTGGGCCCCCCCAACCCCCCCCCCGCACCAGCCAAAAATCTGCATGTCAAATTCTTTCTCTCATATCTCACATCCCACATCCAATCTGTTGGCTCTCCTTTCAAAATAAACCTAGACTCTGTATGTATTTATAAAATACTTAGTAAAATGCACACATTAAAAAAAACATAAAACGAGAGAGGAAACATCTAGCATCTGACCACTTCCCACCACCTTCACGGCTGCCATGTTGGTCTGAGCCAACATTACCTGGGCCATGGCAAATGCTCTTCCTCATTCTCTCCGCCTCCACCCTTGGCCTCTGGGATCTCTTCTCCACACAGCAGCTGGTCTGCACAGAGCCTGACCTCTGGCCATGTCCCTGCCCTACTCACGTCCTCCAGTGGCTTCTCATTTCCCTCCAAGAGCCAACGTCCTCCCGGTGCTCGGGAGGTCCCCACGCCCCCTACTTCTTGACTCACCACCTATACTCTCTCCCCACACCACGTGAACTACTCTGGCCTCCATGCTGTTCCTTGAACACATCACCCTCCCTCCCGAGGACTCTGCCCTCTGCCTGGAAGTTGCTTCCCATACAGCTCCCTCCCTATCTCCCCCAGCTTTCCTGGAATCCTACCTTCTTCATAAAGCTGACGCCAACCACCCAGTCTAATACCTCCCACCCCCCATTGGCATTTCCCATCTCCCTTGCCCTGCCCTTCCAGTCCTGCCCTTCCAGTCCTCTTCTCTGTTACTCAGTGCACCACACAGTCTCCTATGCTTGTTTGTCTGCCCCGCTAGAATGGAAGCTCATGAGGGCAAGAATCTTTGTCCTTTTTTTTCTTTTTTAATCATTGATGTCTATGTTGAGAGGGACAAGTGGTCAAGAAAGAATGTGGAATGCAAAGGAATTACAAGTCTCTCAGAGTGGGGAGCGTGGAATGTGGGGAGTGGTTTTCCAGAGCCAACGAAAGTGAGGAGGTGGGAGGGCTGGGCTAAGGCGAGCCTTATGGTCCCCCTGAGAAGTCCGGGCCCAACTCTGGGAGTAACGGGGGTCCCCACGTTCTCTGCAACCCAAACCAGTTCCCCCCTGCGTGGACTTCGGCAGCACAAGCATCTCAAGCCCCAGAGTCCTCACGGGCAACCTAGACGCCCGAGACAGTGGCAGGTAGCAACAGGGAGGGCACGCGTGGAGCTGGCAAGGGTTCGGTGACGTTCCTTCCCTTCGCCACTTGGCCCTGTTGGAGGGAGTGCCCCGCCTCGAAGGGGACAGGCTCTGAATGTAGTTGTATTTTTACAACAGCTCTCTATAGCTTTTCCCTGGCTGTCTCTTGTTGTCTGGTGAAGCTGTCAGCCGGTGAGGGAGGTGGGGTAGGGGACACACCCTCCGCCTTGGGCAGGCGTTGGGCTCCGTGCCCTACTGGGGAGAAGCTGTCACTGCTTTGGGCCCACTGTGCGCGTGTGGGCTGAGTCTGTGGAGTCACTGTCCCCCATTCCCGCTCCTGGGGTGTCTGTGAAACTGTGAAAGGCATAGGGACGAGCAGATGTGGAGAGTGAGGCATATGGCCGCGTGGGCGTGGCTGTAGGTCTTAGAGGGGGGCAGCGGGCCGGGTGGCGAGCGAGGTGACTGGGTTTCTGGGTCAGCGAGTGCCCTGGCTGGGATGGGTCAGGCACTACTGAGCTCCCTGGGAAGTGGAGTCACATCTAGCTGGGAGAACGAAGCAGGGGCATGGCCCAAGCCCCGGGACCCTGAGTGGGGAGAATGCGCCTCCCTGCCCACCCAAGCAGTCTCCGGGTAGCTACCCTCGAACACAGAACACCCGACGCATCTTCAGGCAGCTGCTGTGCAAAACTCCAATTTGTCTCAAGACCACACAGCTAACAGGTCCAGAGCAGGGGACTTGAGCCCAGCGCAGCCAGATTCCGTCCCCTCCCCTCCAGCTGAAGGCTCCCCTCAGCAGGCTTGTCCCAGAAGGAATCCAGAACTGGAGCGACTTAGAGGAGGGGCAGTAGCCAAGGAGGCTGCTGCAAGGGGTTAAGTACTTGCCCTAGAGGGAGGCCTGGGTTCTGGTTCGTCCTGCAGTTTCATTCATTCTTTCATCCCCTGCATGGATATCCAGCGTGGGAGACTGGGCTGAGCACTGT